TCATGTCACACATGAGTATTTTATGTACGTTTTTAGTTTGGTTCAAATAAGTATATTCATACAGTTACTTAAAACAGTTTTTGTCCTAACAATCCTTCTTTTTTCTTTTTGGAGAAAAAAATAATTGTTTGATTAATATCATAAATAGCATATTTGCAAAACAACTTCACTGTGCCTCAATTACTTTTTAGCTGAAGGAGGCTGTCCAGATACCACTTTCATTGAAGATGCAGTTCATGTGCTCTTAAAAACTCGGCGTATTCTCAAGTGTTCTTATCCATACGGATTTTTCTTGGAACCTAAAAGCACAAAGAAAGAAATTTTCGAACTAATGCAAGTAAGATATTTTTTAATTACATTTAAATGGCAGCAGTTATTAGGAAAAACTGAGTTTTTCTTTTTTCAAACCACTTGTTTTATTTAATGTGGGTGTGATTAGTAAAACAATTTTCTTTTCATTTTTTAAATGGTTTTTAAATAAAGGAAAAGTTACCAGTAATAAACTGAAATTTTCTTTCTGTTTAAATCTGTCACACTTCAGGTCTGAATGGCCTATGAGTGATGCAAACATTTACTATAGCATTTATGTATGTCTTTTAAACTAGTTCAGGTTTGAAATCAGACATATTTCTGATGATGTAGTTAAGAATTTTAGCATCAAAATGAAACAAGCCACATTACGTACAAGATGAGAAATTTGCTGTTTACCAGTTTTTTTTTTTTTTAATCAACTGAAAAAGTTATAGTATTTAAAAAACAAAAACACCTAAGCCAACTGGCATCACTATAGCTAAATAACTTCATTGTACATTTCTTTTCTTTTGAAGCCACTAAACTTTTTCTTGTTACAATTTTCATGTCATCCCTTTGAACTGTCCTCTGCTAATTTATATCCTACATTTCATCAGGGCTCAGTATTCATTTTCTCCATAAACTCTTCCAGACTTGCCCTGATTACTGATTACGTGATTCAAATTCCTTCAGCACTTTTATATAGTCTGCACCGTGGCATCATGCATTTGCTCATATAGTGCATTGAAATGTATTAGCTTTTTTCACATAAACAAATTATAAATTCCTTGTAGACAGCTCCTATACTCACTACTACTTTGTAATTTATACCAATTTCATTTCTATAAATGCCTATCAGATGAGTGCTATTTTTTTAAATTTCACATGATTTTATATACAATCCCTCTTTCTCTTTTGTAATCTAGAAAACATGTACAAAATAGAAAATACATTACATAGAAAGTTATTTCAAAATTTGAACTAGTTTCTTACTTCAAAACAGTTAGATTTAACTGAGAAACCACATAGACTCTGGATTTGCTATTGATTAACCTATGAAACCTGTGATCTTTTTTTTTTCCTCTGCTTGCTATAGACAGACCTAGAAATGGTCACTGAAGACCTTGCCCAGAAAGTCAATAGGCCTTACCTTCGCACACCCCGCCACAAGATCATCAAAGCAGCATGCCTTGTTCAGCAGAAGAGGCAAGAATTCCTGGCATCTGTGGCTCGGGGAGTAGCTCCTGCAGACTCACCAGAAGCTCCAAGACGCAGGTAAAAAGGATGTACACTGTGGAAATCATCCCCTCTCCAGCCACAAATGCCAGCAGTTTTATTTTTTTATCCAACTAAGTTTCATATTCCTGGAAATTACTTACACCTAAAATATCGATAGCTGATAAAAATATGTTAACTCTTTTTTCGTGATTTTTTTTCTCTATACTATTTCTGTTTTTCGTTATTTTTTATTTGTTTATCGGGTAGTGCCTCAGACTAAATTAACCTAGGTTAATTTCACATTTCAAGTGAACTCATAATTAAGAGTATTCTAATTCATCATTTCTTTTTTTGTTTTGTTTTGTTTTTAGAGTGAACATGATTGCTAGTCATTTCAAGTATGTAATATATGTTGTGATTTGATAGTTATAAACTTCTTATGATGCAGAATTTGGAAACTTTGCCAACTTGTTATGGTCATATTTGTATTTTTGTGTAAAGAAGTTGTGAAGGAAAGAGAAATTTAATATTCCTAGTGATCCAAACTCACCCACTAAAGATCAGTTGAGTTATGGTTGTTTTATTTTACCCACTCATACTACTTCTGTAAATTGAAGCATACTTTCCTATTTATAATAATTATAAACATTAAATGTTCCTTTGGCACTGTTTTACATAAATACCTTTGATCCATTTTTTATATAATATTTAGGAGTAAATATATACTTGTAAAATAAAAATAGAAGCAGTTATAAAATACTTTGTTATAACATAGTAATTTTTATTTTTTTATTTTTTTTTTTTGAGACGGAGTTTCGCTCTTGTTACCCAGGCTGGAGTGCAATGGCGTGATCTCGGCTCACCGCAACCTCCGCCTCCTGGGTTCAGGCAATTCTCCTGCCTCAGCCTCCTGAGTAGCTGGGATTACAGGCACGTGCCACCATGCCCAGCTAATTTTTTGTATTTTTAGTAGAGACGGGGTTTCACCATGTTGACCAGGATGGTCTCGATCTCTTGACCTCGTGATCCACCCGCCTCGGCCTCCCAAAGTGCTGGGATTACAGGCTTGAGCCACCGCGCCCGGCCGTAATTTTTATTTTTTGATCACTTTACGCAAATATAAAAACTTAGAATTTGAAATAAATAATGAAATTATCATTTTAATTCTGTTTTAATAGTTGATCTACCTTGGTTAAGCAAGTTCCAAGAGGAATTCAAAGTAGTGTTCAAAGGGCAAGGATCTGATTGTGTATACTTTGTAGTACTGTTATTAAATCAAATGGTATGTTTAATTTCTTTGTAGCTTTGCTGGTGGAACATGGGATTGGGAATATTTAGGATTTGCATCACCAGAGGTAATTGTTTTATGGGGTTTTTGTTTTGTATTTTTTCTTAGTGCAATTGTGCTTGCATTTGCATCCTTATCTATTCTAAATCCTACTTAGGTTATCAGCAATGCCCTCTCTTTCTTTTATAACTAAAATGCCTTGACAGAACCTACATTTAGCTATTTATGTGGTATTGGTATATCATCACATTGTTAAATGCATTACTCTTTTATTGTTTTTAATTACTGAATAGTCAGAATTAAGGCAAATTTACAATATACATTTTTGAAAAAATCTTCTAATTTGTTAATAGACAATTTCATTTATTAGAAATGCATTTCTAGTTATAATATTGTTTTAGTCTGAAACTATTAAAAATATAAAAGAACAATCTTTTTTTAAAGTTAATGCAACGACCTGAGGGAATTGATTTATAATCAGTTGCTAAAGTGGAAAACTTGACATTAATAATGTGTATGCAGAAAGAAGTGCTTTGCTTGGTTGCTTTCTGCTTATCTGTAAGACTTTCACACTCTTCTTTTTTGTTGTTGTTGTCATTAATATACCGTTTTAAAATACAGAAGGTCTGAATTACACTGCAGATAGCAGCTGTGGCAAATAAAAATAAGACAGAGTGAAACTCTTAATCGCAGAACTGTTTTCTGAGATTTAAATTGCCACTGTCACTGTTGAGTCTGATTTTAAAATGGTTTTAGCAGTTCTCTGTACTTCTCTCTTTCCATCCTTGCTCTTTATTAAATAAACAGTATTTGATGCCTATATTATGATAACCCTTCAACTTAATTTTTTGAAGGGGACAGGACAAATGATGACAGCTTTGTTTGTAATGTATAACCCATTTGTTATCTGCAACTGAAAGACAATGAAATTGATTATTATCCAGGCATGACTGTGGCTTATTTAAATCGGATACTTTCTCTTTTCAGTTGCTGAAGATACTTGCAATCACCTGTGGCTTTTGTGTTGGTAGATACATCCAAAAAAAATATTGACTTGAAAAAAAAATTGTGCTTAGAGCTCTGATCTGGAAATTTTAAATTTACTTAAATTATTTAAAATTGTGATATATTAATGAAATTTTTATTTTAAAACAGTGAACCTTTTTCTTTATCTGATCCTGTACTATTATTATTTCTATGTTATAATATATTTACAGCTTCAGGGATATTGTCGCGAATTTCCACCTAAAAGGAAGAATAAGCAAACTGAAATTATTGAAAAAAAAAAAAAAAACTAATGATTTCAGTATTTTAAGGTAAAAACACAATTTAGCAAAAATAAAACCTTCATCAGTGTATTCATAATCATGTATGTATATCACCTTAAAGCTTCTGGGTCTGACAGGAACTTTAGGAATCCTGAAATATTTGTCCTTGAGTATTGAGGGCCTACCAATATGATTGTCACTTTATCTTTTATGAATTGATAATTTTTTATAAATTATTTACTTTTAGTTTTCTTTAGTCCTTAACATATTGAAACACTAGGCTTTTATGTAAACCTTGTTGCAGATATAAAGAATTACTACACATTGTGAGACTTTCAAATTCTGCATGTGTACGACTATCAAGTAACTGCTAAAATTATATTTTTTAAAAATAGCTCTTTGCCTTAATAAAGACTGTGAGGGAAAAAAAAACAACGTTACCAACTCCAGGATACTTAGGTTGAATTTTTTTTTTTTTCAGTGAAGTTAATTTCATTTTATTCTTTTCAATTTAAATTGAGTCTGGCAAGCATAAAATTTTTTTTTATGCTACTTTAAAGGCAGTGGAGCTTAGTGAAAATAGCATAAAGTCTGAGGAGCATCTGAATTCAAGTTCTAAGAGTAAGTTATTAGATCCTAGGCTATATTCTTTCTTAATTTCTCATCTTTACAGTGTGGATGGTGTTACCCCATGGAAGTTCTAGAAGGATTAAAGCATCTCATTAAGTCAGTGACAAAATTGCAATTATTACTTAAAACGCCTTCTTACAGCTTTTCCCTCTATAAATACTAGAACTTTTTAGTCTTCTCTGTGTCCTTAACATTCTCAAACTACTTGGAGTATACCGACTACACCCTTTTAATATGCATTCTTGAAGATCTTAGGAATCCTTGGAAACTTTCAGAAAAATTTTATTTTATGAGAACAATATTTTTAATCATGTTGCATCATGAGAGAATATCATCTGAAGAGTTTTCTGTCAGAACAATTAGAAATACAAGTTTCTTTTGCAGTTTCTTTTAAATGGTTTTGTTTTCTTAAATTGGAAATATGTATAGTCTATGGTAATAGTTTCATTCATAACTTTATACCATTATGAATTTTACAAAGTAAGCAAATTATCCCTATATAAACCTTGAATTGAGATAAAATTTTCTTTTTAGACACCATTTTTGTCTAAGAAATATATGTAGTTGGTGTTCCTCACTGGTCTATTAAGCCTTGATGACACAAAATAAGTTATCAGTTTGAGTTCATGGGCCTCTAGGAAGCTAGGAAATGATGCCCCAGCTCAGCAAGAAATTTTAAAGAACCTGTATAAACCCTCAGGGCACTTGGAGTATCTTTCATTTATTAGTCTCTAACCTAACAGGATGCCTCTCCTTCTTATTAAGAGTCCAACTACTTATATAAATGAAGGAGTTCAAATAAATGTCACCAGAGTGGTATGATGTGAAAGTTTTATTTGTGATGTAAAATTTGTCTTCACCTACTCCTAGTACTTTCACAATATAAGCATATTGAATATTCTAGGGTAACCAGGATAATCATAAAGTTGAGTGTCTCAGTGTTTATCACAGAAAGACACCGTAATGATTCTCTAAATTAGCCCTTTTATGTTAGTATCATGTACCCTGGCTGCCTCCCTTCCCCTTCCCTCCATTCCCCTCCCCTTCTCTTCCCTCCCCTCCTCTTCCCTTCCCTCCCCTCTCCTTTCCTTTTCTTCCCTCCCCTCTCCTTCCGTTCCCCTTCCCTCCCTCTTCCTTCCCTTGCCTTCCCTCCCTTGCCTTCCCTTCCTTCTTCTTCCCTTCCCTCTCTTTCCCTCCCCTCCCCTCCCTTCCAATCCCATCCTGTCCTGTCCTATCCCTCCTGTCACTAAAAGTACATTTATACCCAGGTAATAGCAGATGGTTCCAAGTTGTACCCTCATGATAGCAAACTCTCTTTAAATATTGTCACAAATGTAAAAGAGACTGAGGACATCTGCCTAAGTCTGTGTTCATCCCATATGCTAAATGGAAGACATTTCCCCTGCCTGTGTTGTAAATAGCATCACATATTGGCTTATAAAGAAAAGAAGCCAAATAATCATCTTATTTTAAGGCTAATCTAACATTTGACTTTTAATCTAGTCATTTGATTTGTGAGTGTTGTATGTAGTAGTCCCAAAGAATAGAAAATCCAACAATCTGGCAAGTACTTAAGTGTGTGCTCTTTTTTATTTTTGTTCCTTTTTTTTCTGTTACATATATCCCAGTCACTTTTTTTTTTTCTTTTGAGTTGGAGTCTTGCTCAGGTCGCCCAGGCTGGAGCACAGTGGTGTGATCTTGGCTCACTGCAACCTCTGCCTCCCAGGTTCAAGTGATTCTCCTGCCCGAGCCTCCCAAGTAGCTGAGATTACAGGCCCCGACACCACGCCCAACTAATGTTTTTGTATTTTTAGTTGAGATGGGGTTTCACCATGTTGGCCAGGCTGGTCTTAAACTCCTGACTTCAGGTGATCCGCCCACCTCGGCCTCCCAAAGTGCTGGGATTACAGGCGTGAGCCACTATGCTCAGCCCCAGTCGCTTTTGTAAAACCACTTTCATGTCCAAGTGCAATGGCTCACACCTGTAATCCCAGCTACTTAGGAGGCTGAGGCAGTGGGGATTGCTTGAGGCCAGGAGTTCAAGACCAGTTTGAACAACATAGCAAGACCCTGTCTCTAAAAAAGAGAGAGAGAGAGAGTAATATGATTGTGGTATTAATTGTAATAATTAGATAACAAGATCCTTGAAATCATCAGGCATATGAAATAGGGCTGTTCTAATCTAGCATTGGGGCTTGCAAGTATTCCCATTTATCTAGGCAATTGTAATGACTGTTGAAAACTTTTTTTTTTCCATTTTACCTTTTGTGTTTCCTTGGCATGGCAAAACCTGATGTTTCAGCCAAGTGATTTTATAATATGTGTATAAAATCACAAACTTTTTCCTATGGAAAAAAAGTGTGTGGTTTGTTTTATTTGCATTTTAAAAATTGCATGCTCTCTTGTATTTTATAACCTTTGGTTTATGCAGGAATATGCTGAATTTCAGTATCGGAGGAGGCACAGACAACGTCGTCGAGGAGACGTGCACAGTCTGCTCAGTAATCCTCCAGAGCCTGATGAGCCAAGTGAAAGCACTTTAGGTAAACCCTTGGGTTGTGTATGGTTTAATCCTGAAGCTCTCCTGAATTTATCCTTCAAACTGGCTGATGTAAATGTTTATAAAACAGTTTGTCATTTAGATATAAATATGCAGATGCTTCTATTGTGATAGGATAAAGAAAATCAGAGGAGTTAAGAGCATGGGCCGTGGAGTCAGGCAAACTTGGATTTATTACCCCATCTCTGCTGCATATTAGCTGCGTAACTTAGTCAATTCACAACGTCTCTAGGGCTGTTTCCACATTCTAAAAAACCACTAATAATAGTGCCACCTTATAAGCTCATTGTGAGTATTAAATTAGATAATGCATCTAAAACACGTAAGCACCTAGTGAGCACTCAGTTAACTGTAGTATTGATACTGTTTTTGTGTTCATATATTTGTCTCCTAGCCTTAGTTGTCCTGTAGACATTATTTAAGAGAGAGAGAATTTCTGGCATTAGAGATATTAATTATTCAACCTTTATTATTAAATTATTAAGTGAAAATATTATTAAGTGAAAATCTTCCAACTATAATGTCAGGATCAATGGGACTAAAGATTTGCTTTTCAGACTTTTGTAATTCCCAAATTATTTAATTTTAAGAAATCTAAAAATGAAAACCCTTTTTTAGTTATTGCTTAACAAAGAAGGAGAAATGGATAGTAACACTTGCATTTATGAATAGAACCATATAGACTGCAAGCAAAAATGTAAAAACGTCAGGCATGATGATTCATGCCTGTCATCCCAGCACTTTGGAAGGCCAAGGCAGGCAGATCACCTGAGGTCAGGAGTTTGAGACCATCCTGGCCAGCGTGGTAAAACCCTATCTCTAATAAAATTACAAAAATTCGCCGGGCATGATGGCACATATCTGTAGTACCAGCTACTCAGGAGGCTGAGGCAGGAGAATCGCTTGAACCCAGGAGGCAGAGGTTGCAGTGAGCCGAGATTGCGCCACTGCACTCCAGCCTGGGTGACAGAGGCTTTTTTTAACCTTTACTCAAAAAAAAAGGGAAAAAGTCATGGATTAGAAGTGATAGTGTCATATATATGTTACTGCTCATGGTAAGACAAATATGGATGAGAAATCCTAGAAAGATTAAGTGAACATGTCACCACAGGTTTTCCCCAGCACTGAAAGAGAAATTGCCAATTTAAACAACCAGGTGTATGTCTCACTTGTCACTAAATTGTCTTTGGTACCAATTGCTTTGAAACAGATATTCCAGAAGGCGGCAGCAGCAGCCGCAGACCTGGCACATCCGTGGTAAGTTCTACATCTATGAGTGTACTGCACAGCTCTTCCCTGCGTGACTACACCCCTGCCAGTCGCTCTGAAAACCAGGACTCTCTTCAGGTAGCCTTTCTGAGCAGCCTCATTGCCTATGCTTTTGCTCTTTCTCTGTTGAGTGTGGTTTCCTGTTTTTATTTTCATTGCTTTCCTGTTTCTTCCTTCCATTCTAAAATCTTTGTTCTAAACATGGGCTGCAGGAAAAGATTTTACCATATTTTAGATTTATTTTAAGGTAGGGTTTTTTTCCTTTTGCATGGGCACAGAGAAAATTATAATAAGATTTTAGTAGATAAAATAATTACTCTGTATAAATAGAATTCATAATCTGTTGGTAAAGGAAGAATGATAAACCTGATTGGGTTAAATCAGTTTTTTTTTAGTCAAATTTTAAAGTGGTTTTGCTTTCTGTTGCTTCAGGCTCTGAGTTCCTTGGATGAAGATGATCCCAATATACTTCTTGCAATACAGTTATCACTGCAAGAGTCTGGGCTGGCCATCGATGAAGAAACTAGAGACTTCCTCAGTAATGAAGCATCCTTAGGTGCGATAGGCACTTCTTTACCTTCCAGGCTGGACTCTGTCCCCAGAAATACAGATAGCCCTCGGGCTGCATTGAGCAGCTCTGAGCTTTTGGAACTTGGTGACAGCCTCATGAGACTAGGAGCAGAGAGTGACCCATTTTCAACTGACACCCTCAGTTCACACCCTCTCAGTGAGGCAAGAAGTGATTTCTGTCCCTCATCCAGTGACCCTGATTCAGCTGATCAAGACCCCAACATCAATGACAATCTTCTTGGCAACATCATGGCTTGGTTTCATGACATGAACCCTCAGAGTATTGCCCTGATTCCTCCAGCAACTACAGAAATTAGTGCAGATTCCCAGCTCCCCTGTATCAAAGATGGGTCAGAAGGTGTGAAGGATGTGGAACTGGTGCTGCCGGAAGATTCAGTGTTTGAAGATGCCAGTGTCAGGGAAGGTAGAGGAACCCAGATGGAAGAAAATCGTTTGGAAGAAAATATTCTGACTGAGGAAGCAGCATCTCAAGCTGATGACAGTGGTAATGAGGTGGCCAACAGAGTAGATGGTTCAGATGTTTCAAGTCAAACACCTCAAACCTCAAGTGACTGGCTTGAACAAGTACATTTAGTGTGAACTGCACACATCTGGGCTCTAAATGAATTACAGTTATAGATGGTATGCTAGGTGGAGTATGCTTGATAGGGACCTTGATTCACTTAATTCCAACTCAGTGATAAACCACCACCATTAGGGTTGAATACAAAGGAGTTCCCTTGAATGGTAGCTTCATTTTTTATTTTAACCTTACAGGGAATTTCCTTTGTACTTAATTGAATAGCTTTTCCCCTTTCTGCTGACAAAAAGAAGAGCAAGAGAAAGAGAAATAAAAATGAAATAAATAGATTGTATTCCACATTTTAAGAAAATGCAGTCCTCTATTTAGCCTAGGGTTGACAATACTTAAATTGAACATTTAAACTAAAGGCTTACTCCCTAATCTTTGGGTGGCTTTCCTTTAAAAACAAAAAAAAAGTTTTCTTCATTCTAGAAATTCATTTTGGATAGATCCGATAACATGTATGTTCTCAATCTCTTTGTGCTCTTCTGTAACTTCCTTTCTTCCTTTTTGTCTAAGCAATGTGAATTGAAGTCTCTTTAGTACCACATCTACCACAGTGTAATTAGTTTTAATTTTCACATGAAGCAAAGATTTCCTTTCATGTCTATTTACAGTCCAATTGTGCCAAACTCTGACTTGTGTGCTGACTAACAAGGCATTTAGGTGTGCAGCATCCTAGAGTGCTCCAGGGCAGTGTCAGCGTTCTTGGGAGTCAAAGGTGCCACTCAGTAGCAATGATAGTCCAGAATTACATGGGTTTTTGTTGCCGTGGAGACTGCATTTATATAAATGTAGCCTGTAGCTTAAGTTAACTAAACCTAATGCTGCTGTTAAAAAGTTTATTTTAATATTAAAATACAGTTGATTAGCAACAGCGGTGCTGTATTTTAAGAGACACTTTATTGGAAGTGCAATCATAGTTATTTGTTTTCACAATTTTACAGTGCATTCTAATTACTAATGGGTGCAATTACTTTTAATGGTAGGTGTTTTATAAAATAGAAAAAAAAGTGGAGTTTTCATGAGTTATAGTAAATCCCACGATTATTAAGAAATTCAGTAAAACATCCTGCGCAACATGTTACCGTGCCTTTGCCTAACCTAAATGGATAGTTGCCAGTTAAATAAGTGAGTAATTCAAATTTCAATGTCTCTTCTGAAGTAACTATGCTATGAATTGCAAAGACCTCCATAAAACCACCCATGGCCTTGCTTTTACAGTAACAACTAAATGTTCAGTTTGTTTGCCTAACTAGCAAATGCTGACATGTGTTTGTTCTATTGCACAATACTCACTTGCTGTGTGATTACTGTTTAGTGTTGAAAAAAATCAACTTCCTAGTTATCAGTGTCTACTGTGAAGAAAATACTGGTCTTAGTTATAATTAAGATACAATGGTACAGTGTGTAATTAAAACTAGAGTAAACTGTTGGAATGGCTGTTTTACTTACATATTATCAAAACTAGCGTAACATAAGCAGAATAGGTAAGTGCAACACTCCATTTAGTGTTTTGCCAAATTGTTGCCAGAAATCTACAGATACCAAAATTTCAGTTCTGAGTTTGTACAGGCAAGTCCTGGACTGGGTAAAAAGTTATATGAGTATTATTATCCACAAGTGATGTGATTATGGTTTTCGATTACTTTTTTTCCAAACCCTGCTTTTGAAATATGCTTATACTTAAAATCATATTGCTAGGACACTATATTAGCATATTTAATATTCCCCAGATCCTCTTAGGATAAACTGTGGGAATCCTCCTATGCCAGGCCTATCAAAGGTCCACATTAGTTTTTATTTCTCCAGTGATCAGAAACATTGATATCAATACCTATTAAAGTTAGTGGGGGGAAATATTAACTTTATCTACAGTGTATTACTGTATATTAAACTGAAATAGTCCATAAAGGATTTTTTATGAATTTATTTTGGATTAAAAATATCAACACCAATAAGTTTTTAGACCAAGTTGTAACTTTTCCAGTATAGAGTCTTTGCATCACATTGAGGCATCTTGCACAGCTGCAGTTAAGGTGAGAAAGAATGCTCTGTGTGAAGATAGCGTACAAAATGGGTTCCGGTTTCCTTGCACCTTGTGCAGTATCCTTTATTTCTGTGCTGTTCTCTTCTGAGCATGAAAAATGATGATTATCCAATTTGTATTTCCTTGGTACATATTTTAAAAACAACACAGTCATTGACTTTACAATTCAGTAATGAAGTTTGGCAAAGCCTATTTTGTAAACAAGTTAATTTTATAATGTAAAAAAAAAAGTTAATCTAACCTTGACTTGTTATTTGCACTTTCATAGTCTATACTTGATACATTCCCACTTTATATACAGTAGGATTCTACAAACGTGTAGATGTTTGGCCAAATGAATGCTGTTAATAATATGTAAAATTCTTTGATTAAACATTTATTACTTAAACTACTTCCATTTTGTCTCATTACATTGTAGACTTTGTTTTAACCAAGTCAGAAAGCTGATTTTCCTCAAATTTAAATCCATCCAGTGTGATGGGATCAATTTGGTTCTCACATGTAATTGATTAGTGCCTAATATTTTTACACTAGCCACTTACTGAGCATTTTATATCTCAGTGATAAATACAAAAACACTGCATGACAATGTGTTAAAACATTATGACTTCAGTGCTCATTTTGTTGATGTCACTGTAGCTTTCAGGAGAAAAATGTTATTACTTTTTCTTGAAATCTAATAGAAATACACAGAAAAATAAGATATGTTTTGTGAAATTGCTTAGGAAAGAAAAAAAAAATTTATGCCATTTGAATAAAAATGCCTGCTTCTCTGTCACTTTATTATTGTGTCCCTTACGAGTTACCAAAATAACCCATGACATCTGATCTTGCGGGTGCTTCATGGGGTCTGCCAGTGATAACCATTTAAAGCAGTGTCATTTTATTTATGCCTTTCATTGTGTGGATCTGAAGTTAACTACCAATATTCATATGCTGAATTATTCTTTAAATGTTGTTCATTACAGCCACTGATCTCACTTTTTATCTCCTTTGAGTCCTCAAATATTTATCATTTATGTGTTATGAATTAAAAGCTGGAATTTATTGTTTAGTCATAATTTTAAAGCAGTGATAGTGTGTCTCTGAAGAGTGAAACCTTTGAATGTAAATATTAAGTGATAATACAAACTTTGGTGGTGTTTTAAGGCTGAAATAACTCCAAAGGGAAAAATTTTTCATGCAGTCAGCTCTTGGACTGAGTAGTAGTTTTTCTGAGTTTTTTTCTTTTTCCTTTTTTTCTTCTGAGACAGGATCTCACTCTGTCGCCCAGGCTGGAGTATAGTGGTGTGGTCATAGCTCACTGCAGCCTCAACCTTCCAGGCTCAGGTGATTTCCCTACCTCAGCCTCCCAAGCAGCTGGGCCTACAGACACATGCCACCACACCTGGCTAATTTTTGTATTTTTTGTAAAGGCAGGGTTTTGCCATGTTGCCCAGGCTAGTCTTGAACTCCTGGGCTCAAGAAATCTGCCTGTCTGGGCCTCCCAAAGTGCTGGGATTACAAGTGAGAGCCACTGCACCTGGACCAGAAGTTTAATCTCAGCATTGTGTTAACAAGCATAATTACTGGGTCTTCTCCTTGGCAACAGTATATTATCTTGTCAGTTGTTAAAACCTTCTCACCAGAATGAAAGATTTATTTCTAGAAAGATAGAAGTGGCTCTTTCTAGACTGTATTATGTGACAGTCCTTTAGGAACTGGCTGTAGACTTAGTTCTTAAAGATGTATTAGAAAAGTTTCCTTTAGCTCTCAGTTCCACCTAGGACTCACAGGTAGCTGACAGACTGAGTGGTGGCCAAACTTTTGAAGGAATTATTCTTCAGTCTTTGAAATTGCAATTTGACAATATTCTTGATCTAGCTATCTTCATCTCTTAGCCAACTGTCTTATTAAGTATTTATTGCATAAGTACCTAGCCTGTGTGAGGCGTCAGTATACAGCAGGTTGAGAGAGAAATACATGAGAGTCAACAAAGCGAAAGCACAAAACGGATAATCGTTGGAGGATACAGTCAGGCCTCTTATCTTACTAGGTGTGCCAAGACTGCAAGGCCCTGTTCACAATTTTGCCTGAGCCATCTCTTAGGATTTATGTAACTAGTAACTTGAGGTCAAGGAGCAGGCTTAACTGGTTACTATAGAAGAAGTGGATTCCTCATGCTCAGTGTTCAGCCTAACTCCAATGTGAACACCACTGTGTGCTTGCTATCCATCCAGGCCCATTGCATTGCCCCTGTGAAACCGGAGACAAGGGGAACTGTGAATATGCTGAGGTTCATTCTGAGTGCTGTGCCATGAGTGATAAACTCCTTTGCCTCTGACCCAAGAGTCTCATGTCTTCTGTCAGCATTCTTGAGATTGTAACAGGCTAACTTACTGGTTTGTCAGTAAGGTAAAGTGAAATCCTGAAACTGAAGAGTTTCGGCAAAAAGGATGGGATGCTGACAAATACATGATAGTCTGAAAAAGGAACCGTGGGCCAGGTTCTCGAATGTAAGACTCCCTGGAATCTGGTAGTGAATGCTCTCACCCTAATGAGGGATATAGGGAGAGGGCTGGTGGACACTAAGGTTTCCCATGGTCCTACCTATTCACGAACAGGAGGCAATGTTTAGAGGCTTAGCAACAAGAGGTAGGATTGAAACAGTGCAGATGGTGCTTTGTTACTCCTGCAGGCAGGCAAAGGAAAGGATGTTTTCATGACAAGTTCTGTGGCTGAGTCAAGTCCCAAAATGTAAAATAAATGGTGTTATCAAGAAGAACCTTGCTCTTCGATTGAGAGCCTTGGGTAGACTGAAAACAGGAGGTTATTTGGCTGAGCTGCAAGCGATTGCAGCACTGTTCAGATGCCAAAGTGAATGCAAAGCCATGCATAAAAGTGCAGAGCAGGCCACAGCCGGTTCAGCCAGTAATGAGGACAAGGTGCTGGGTGCAGGGGTGACAGAAGTGCCGAAGACTTCGGAGTAAAATGTGGTGTTGCGAATGGGGGAAAAAAGAAGCCTGGGGCCCCGGTTCTTTCTTATTGCTGTAGGGGCTCGCCACTGCCTCAGGAGAGGTAGTGGTCAGTGTCCTGGCACTGATCCTGGAGCAAAATGCTAAAGGAGAAAAAAGGCTGAAAATTAATTTTCTTCCCCACAGACAGCCTCTTCTGCAACCCTCCTGGTTGGGGGATAATGTGATCTGTCACTTACTTGCCACTTGTAGCCCCTGACTTGCACACATTCTCATCAGTCTGTGGTGTTTCTGTGGTGTTCCTGTGGTGGAAAAGGCTTTTTAACGTGTTCCATGGTGAGGAAGGGAAGCTAATAGTATCTTGCAGTTGGGGCCTTTTGGGTGACTCAATGTAATGTGGCTTCTAAATCTGAATGTACAATGGAATTGATGTGTTATATACCCACACTTACCTGTCTCATAATTGTCAGTGGGATTCTCCCTTTCAAGGGCTGCCGCATGTACAGAGGTAATAATGGGCTGTGTAAATTACTCCTCAACGTGTCTCTGACCCCTCCTAGGTGGTCCTCCAGACACAATACAGACTCTCAGGAGGAGAAAGGGAAATTGCTGACTGACTTAATGGTAGTCAGAGCATTCAGGCCTTTTCCCAACCCAGTGTGGCCACCTACCTGACCCAGCCACCTACCTGACCCAGCCACCAAACAATATCCACTTTGAAAAACAGGGAACTTTTTTTTAAAAATATATATTTTATTGCGTTTTAGGTTTTGGGGTACATGTGAAGAACAGGCAAGATTGTTGCATAGGTACATACATGGCAATGTGGTTTGCTGCCTTTCTCCCCATCACCTATATCTGGCATTTCTCCCCATGTTATCCCTCCCCAACTCCCCACCCTCCGCTATCCCTCCCGTAGTCCCCCCCTACAGACCCCAGTGTGTGATGCTTCCCTCCCAAAACAGGGAACTTTAAATGTGCAGCTCTCGAAACCGAATACCTGATCGATGGAAACCTTGGGACTTGCTGATCTGACATCTCAACTTTAGGGTAGGTCAATTCTAACTGGAGAATTAACAAGATGGAAAGGCTCCAACAGGCCTTGCTAGTCACATTGAAATGATATATTTGAGAGGGCAGCTAGCCTGGCCCTAGCATATCTCAATTTTACTTGAAAAATTATAGCTGTTCCTTTGGGGGAAATTTTGTGCCTAACTTCACTGCCTGTAGCACGGCCACTAGCTGATGCTAGAATGGCTGGACTTAGTTCAGTTGCTGGGCAGCAATTTGTGCCAAATCCCAGTGATTTTTTTTTTTTTTTTTTGCTTCTATTGATAATTCTAAAATGTATATGGAAAGGCAAAAGAACTAGAATTGCTAAAACAATTTTGAAAAAGAAAACTAAAATGAGAGGAAGTATGCTACCCTCTTTCAAGACAATGTGATACTGGCGAATGGATAAACACATAGATCAATAGAATAGAACATAGAACCAGAAATAGCCTCACACTAATATTGTCAACTGGTTTTAACAAAGGCGCAAAAGGAGAAAGGATAGTATTTTCAAAAAATGTTGCCTTATACTCTGTATAAGGTATAAGGCAGGCAAAACTCAGGAACCTCTACTTAAAACTCACACTTTATATATAAAACTTGAAATTGATCATAGATTTAAATGTAAAATATGCAACTTTTAGAAAAGAACATAGAGTCTTCTAAGATGTCGGCTAATCAAAGAATTTTTAGACTTGACACCAAAAGCATAATTCATAAAAGAAAAAATCTGATAAACTGGACTTCATCAAAATGTAAAATGTTTGCTCTACAAAAGATATGGTAAAGAAGATGAAAAGACAAGTCTGGGAGAAAATGTTTGCAAACCACGTATCTGACAACTCATAGAATGTATAAAGAAGTCTCAAAACTAAACAGTAACAAGACACTCCAATATAAAATGGACAAAAGAAATGAAGAAAAATTTTACCAAATAAGAAAAATGACAAACACATGGAAATTGTTCAACATCACTATCCATCTGGGAAATGCAAATTAAGATCACAGTAAGACACCACACCTATCAGAATGGCTAAAATAAATAGTGTCAACACCAAATGCTGGTAAGGATGTGGATAAACGAAACTCATACATTGCTGATGGGAATATAAAATGGTACAACCATCCTGGAAAATAATTTGGTAGTTTCTTTAGAAACTTAAGCATATACTTACCATATGACCCAACATTTGCACCTGTGGGCATTTATCACAGAGAAATGAAAACAAGTCCACACAAAAACCTGTACACATTTGTTCACCGCAACTATTTGTAATAGCCAAACCTGAAATCCACCAAAATGTCCTATCATAGATGGCTAACAATGGTACATCCATGCAGTGGAATACTACTCAGCAATAAAAGGAACAAACTATTGATTCAA